GGGACCATTTACGATTATTACAACTGCAGGTAGGAAAATGAAGCCAATATCTTGGCCCGTACGATGGATCACGAGAGGCCATCACGAGATTCACGACGGTCGAGATCGAGGGCGAGGCGCTTGTGGCTACCTTACGGCGGGTGCAGCGTCCTCGGAGAAAAAGAGGACGTCAAGAGGACTCCCGCGACGATCTCTTCTCCCAGCGCCTCAAGGGATTAAGGTTGTACGGACGGTACGTACCTCGCAGCGATTGGGCAAAGGACCGTTAATGGCAGATTGGCGGTGGCCAATGAGCGCCGTGCTGTCCGGGGGGCTCCAGATGTTCTGGAACGGCAGCCAGCAGACGGTTGGATGGGCGGCAATTCGGTGCCTGAACCCCTGGGACGACGGGTGGGGCGCCTGATTGGACGCGCCAGGGATACCACGGGACATGCGACACGCCTGGGATTCCAGTGTCCAGTGCGATTCCAAGCCCGCGCCACAACCTGCGGATTTCCCGGGCTGGTGGGTCGATGGTGGTGCTTTTACACTACTCCTTACAGAGTAGTCACACTAGGCTGTAAGAGTCTTTTGCCTTTTTTTGACGGTTCAGGTACGCGGGCAGATTTGGGATTGTGGTTGGTCGTCTGCGTCAATCGGGACAGGGATGGAAGCCCTTTTTCACTCCAACGAGGGCCCGAAGCTGGAGAAGCTGAGAGAACACGCGCAGGAGGGAGCGGACGCAGGGACTGCGGGAGGGCGGGAATTCAAGGGGCAAAAGCCAAAAGGGCCATACAAAAAAAGGCTGCACTCTGCAGAGAGCGCCAGAATGAAGTTTTGTTAGTTGATGCTTATGGCATGGCACAGAAACTACGGCGCAAACTCTACGACTCCAAGGGGGTGAGGGGGAAGGGCTCACGACAGGGCGAAACCTGGCTGGCGAGTCTCTCACGCACATGGCGCAGCAAAGGCGTGCCTGGCTGAGACAGGGGCTCCGCTGTCAGCCTGTCACTCGACAAAACCTTGGTGCCTCTGCGGATACGCAGGACTGTGAGGAATGCGGGCCACATCCTGGGTTGACAGATTCCGGGTTCAGAACAACCTCGACGGCGACCCAAAATCCCAAATCCCTCCCTTCCCCCTTTGTCATTGGTGGCTTGTGTTCGATATCCACTGCATTGACAGTCATCAGTCCACAATCACACCCCGTCAGTGTTTAATCGGCGGGATCCCTGGCGCTGATCTGAGAGATTTCCCTCCTGTCTCCCTTTTGGGGGCCAATGCTGTCGTTCGTGGATCTCTGGGCGACACCTTCAGACTGAGGGAGGCGACGGGCGTGGCGGCTGGGCATATGATCTTCCAAAACTTGACGGGGGGCTCGGCGGGCTTGGGAGGATGACGGACGCGTGGGCGCGGGCTGTGGCTTGTCTCGACGAGGAGGATCTTCGTGATCCAAGGGGGTAATGTGCCGTTCGCGATCATGCTCTCGCGACGCATCACCACGGCTATCGAAACCTCGTTTCTCGACACAAACGCACACTCGTGGGATGGCACGTCTCTACTTTCCCTCCCTCCCGTCCCCTCCCTCCACAAACCACAACAACCCACCACCACAAGTAGAACCTGCTACAGTACTCCAGCAGCGTGTGGTCGGAAACCTGCACGCGCAGAGGCTGTCGCTTCCATGTCCCAATCGGTATCGCTGACGAGCCCAACTCTCCCTCAATCACCGGCAGAACCTTTGCCGGGTCCTACCCTGAGGCCACCCCGCGGATACCAACCTGTGCAATGCCGTCGAGCTCGTAGGGACGAAGGCCGCCCATGAAAGGGGGCAGAAACAGCGATGTAGCAGTGGGAGGGGGGCTGCGATACAGGAGGGAGCACGAGCCAGGCACGGCGCGATCTCCGCTGACTTATTCGTTCTTGCGGCTCTGCCGTTCCGTTCCCGGGGCGAGACGGGACCTGATGCGCTGACGCAAATCCCGCGGGTGTTCGCTGATCTTTTGATACGCCTCGGGAGAAACGTGATGCTACCCTTCCCGCCCGGATTTTCATGCTGCCTTCACCAAGCGATGTTCTGGATCGCGTCCGTGGGTTGTGGAAACAGCGTGTTTGCCATCTTCCGGTTTTGCAAACATTGAACGATTCTATGTGTGAGGCACGTTTGTCCTGCCTGGTGCTACCGGGTCGATCGGGACACTGTCTCGGTGCTACTCGACCGTTGTCCGCCCCGCGAGGTCTCACAGCACCGCAATGTTGAACATGCAAGCGGACCGTTGGCATCGGAGGAATGCGTCCGAGTCATTGGACGCTTACGCGCCCAACGGGCAAGCGGCACGAGGACCGTTGAAAAAGTCTTCGTCATTCGTCATTCGTCATTCCTGGGCCGTGCTTGGGGGTTCTCAGACATCGAATCCGCGTCGACGTCATCGCCCGTGCCCTCGATTTCAGACTGGAAATGTGATACTCGACGAGAAGGACCCACCTGCATTTTCGCAATCTTCCAGAAGCCGTCTTCCCGTCCGTGGAAGGGGCATGTTTTGTCTGTGAATGACTAAGTAGGTTATTGACTAAGTTGTCGGCGATTCATGGGATCTCTTCGGTGTTAAAACCCACGATCTCGCTGGGATGACCAGACGAACCGCTTTCGCCACCTCCGATCTGGGTGCGAGAGTTTGGGAGCACGTTGCATGCGACGAGCACCCGCGATCACCCTCGCGTCATTGGCTCGCTGGTCGCGGCTGCTGGATGAGGCTGTCAGCCATTACGCTCGAGGCTGCAGTCGAGTTTTGCATCTTTTGGAGGAACATTCAGTCATATTCGTTGCGTCTGAAGAAGCTTCTAAACTCAAAGGCGAGGTGTGCTCATTGTGGAACGCGAACCTAGAACATCATCCCCATCACCACGTTGTTGTCATGCTATTTCTCCTTCATGGTTCATACGGAATGGCGTGGCTTATTCAGGTATCGAGAAGGTTATTGGAGCTCTGATATGGGCCACCTGGCGATTCTTCTCGAGGCGGTTGGTTATCGTGTGATAGAGTTAATTGCTGCCATTCGAGGTCTCATTCGCCGTGTTTACACAGGCTTCTAGTGATCGCTACGATCAATCGTATCTTATCGATCGGTGATAGACATCTAAAGTTCTGCGCTGGGTGTGACCTGGAACTTGCCGGCAGTTCACGTTGTTTCGAGGTCGTCGAATAGCTGTCTACAAAACAGAAAGCGCCATAGAAAGCAGAAGTTCGTACAGCGATGGATAAGGTCAGCCAAAGTACTAGTAGTTGCGAGTCCGGAATGGAAGCGAATCACTATTCAGGGCATGATGGCCATACCCTAGACGACAAAAGGGCGACAACCAGAAACGTGAGTAATGTTTCTGATATGGTCAGTCTAAAGAAATGTAATAATAATAGATACAAGCAGAATTTCGCCCGATTAGCCACACGTATCTATCCAAACGGGGATCTCAAGTGAGATGGTTTTTGATAACCTTAGTAAACCCAATTTCAAACAGTATAGCTCAAGCACTAATAACTATTACTCAATAACAAACGTATAACAGGCCTTGTATCTCATGCTGAGCCAACGCGGATGATTATCTTACCCGTCGTTCTGCCCAGCCTTAGCTTCGCGTATGCTCTCGGCGCATCGATCCACTCGAACTTCTCATCTATCAATACCTTCACCTTCCCCTCGGCTACCCAGCGACCGATCTGTTCCAAGTCCTCTCGACTTGGGCTGACCCTCACCGTCTGGAACCGCCTCTTCCCACCGCCCAGAAACCCCGGCAGCATGCTCCTGCGCAGCATGCCGACCATAGACTTCTGCATAGCAACCTGAACGAAGACGCCGTCGGACTTGAGGAAATGCGGGCTGCTCTCGAACAGACACTCCGGGCTACCGACGTTGTCGATTGCTACGTCGAAGATGGGCCCTTTCGCCTTCAGTTCGACCAGGACATCAGATATTCGGTAGTCGATCACTTCATCTGCTCCGAGGCTCTTGCAGAGGTCGACGTTTGCCGCGGAGCAGGTCGCAACGACGTACGCACCGACGGCTTTGGCGAACTGGATCGTGAAGGAGCCAACGCCGCCGCTCCCGCCGTTGATGAACACCTTCGAGCCAGGCCCCAAATGCTCCTTAGGAGGTGATTGGAATGCCGTCAGCCCAGCCGTTCCCAAAGCAGCCGCATCGTCGGGATCAACACCTCCAGGAAGGGGCGCGATGTGGGAACACGGAGCAACCATGAGTTGACCCAGGCTGCCGAACTTGGGCAGCTTGGCCCCTATGCTCAGTGCGCCAAAGACAAGCTGGCCCGCGGAAAAGCCGTCGGCGCCATTTTTGGCCTTGATACGGCCGCAAAAGTCCAGGCCTGGACTTGATCGGGGCTGGATCATGAACTTTCCGAAGATGGGGGTCTCTGGGAGTTTGTACTCGACGGGGTTGATGCCGGCTGTGATGACTTCGATGAGGACATGGTCTTTGGGGAGAGAGGATGCGTTTGAAGGGGTGGCGATTTTGTTGAGTGATAGGGAGTCCTCGAGGGTTTTGGTGATGGTGGTGTATTGCCAGGCTTGCATTTTGCTGGTTGAGATGCAGTAAGTTGCGGTAAGAGTCTGGCGGTGGTATGGGACGTTCTGTGAGAATGTCTACAGATAGAATCGGGCGCAGAATCAACAATTATAAGACAAATGGGACTTGCAACATCTGTTCAATTACATTGCTTCAATTCATCTACAAGTGCTATAGAGCCAAAGTCCGCATCTCAGTCGAGTTGCAGGGGTGGTTTAAGGTTATCTCGGGTTCGGATTGATCCTGGTTCACGTTGCGGAGTTTGTACCCTCAACGCGCTTCAACCTTTGAAGACAGCGAATATTGAATTCCCTTTCGTCCAAGAGCAGTCAAGTTGGGAAGAAATGAATTGATGGCTAGCTGGACACTATGTGGCTAGTTTCCTCCACAGCTCATGGGAGCCCGCTGGTCCCAGCGAGCGTAAAGGGGCGGCGGCGTTTGGTCTGATTACCATTTGAACGAGCCAGGATGCAAGACCTCCATGTTATCAACGATGTCAAAGTCGCGAATGCCACCTCCAGGCGTGTATATGCTCCCGTTAAACGCAACCGCCGCCATGCCGTGGCGGGGCGTGTTCATCGGCTGGACCTTCTCCCAGCAGTCGCCGCGGATGTCGTACACCTCCGTCTCGTTGAACACAAACCCACCCTCCGGATCCAGATTTCCTTCGCCTCCAAAGGTGTAGATGCGCTGCCCGAGAATCGCTACCGAGACTCCCCCCTGGGCGTGGGCATGCGCGCACGCTCGCTCCACTCCAGCGTCTTGAGGTCGAGGACGTAGACTGTGTCGCGGACTGCGGTTTGGCTCCGGACGCGGCCTCCGACTACGTAGAAGCTGTTACCAAAGACGCCACCTCCGGCATGCTCGCGGCTTTCGGGGAGATTGGAGAGAGTTTCCCATTCCTGAGTCTTGATGTTGTAGGATGATACGATGTCGACGGTCTCTTGGAGCCCGTCGCCCCCAGCTCGAGCAAACTGATGCCACCGGCGACGATGATCTTGCCACCATACGCTCCAAGGATAGAGATGCCTCTCTCCGTATCCTTGGGCATGGACGGGAGCTCAGTCCACTTGTTGGTAACAGGGTCGTACTCATAGCAGTTCGGAAGTGCCCAGAAGGCGGCGCCGCCGGAGAGCCCGCCGAGAACGTGGATCTTTCCGTTGGTCGCGATGGCGTTGGCATGGTTCATAGGGATGGGCAAGGGCGCAACGAAGGACCACTCATCCTTAGGAACGTTGTATCTCTCCACCGAGTCGATGGTTGAGACTCCGGTGGATTGACTTGCATCAGGCTCGATTCCCGCAATGACGTAGATGTTTTCACCGAGAGCCACGGCGGCGTGCCTTGACGTGGGCCCCCGACCAGAGGACTGAGGACTTCCCAGCTTTCGCTGCCCGTTGGGGTGCATCGTGAAGGCGACGGGGCAGCTGCTGAGTGTCCACTCAACAATGGCAGCAAGGTAAGAGAGAAGGCAAGTTGTGTGAACATGTTTGTGTAAGAAGAGGGGGGTTGGAGGTTACTGAGATGGTTGTTTCAGTGGTACCTATGTGATAATGAACAAAACACATTTGGCACGGACAATCTGCCTCTTTAATAGAAATCACTGGCCATTCGAAAGTGCAACTTCTCCTGATGTCTATATTGCTAATACGAACGCCAAGGGAATGCCTGGCCTGTAGGCTTTGATTGTCAACTACCCGCGCCAACGTTTGCGATACGAAGGTGACAGCCACATTGAGCACCTCCGTGACAATTCTTCAACTTCGTGAAGCTCCGTATCATCAAGTCACTGAAAGAGAAAACAAGACTAACGAAGCACTGCCTCTCGCGGCCCATGTGAATGACACAGCATTTCGGTTCGGTCCGCCTCTATTGTTGGTGCCGCGCCCATTAGTGGCTGTAAATTCCGCCGAGAGAAGTCATAACCATCACAATAGTAGTTTCTTGACGAGCTGTCAGGTCTCAACCAAGCATCACATACATGAATGTGTTACGCATATATTGCCATTGCCAGCGGAGTTAGGCTTCTCTGATGAAATTCAGTGCACTAGTCAAATCCAAGGCACCATCATGAATGGCCGGATTCTGATCATCATACTCTGTTGTACGGTTAAACCCATCCGAAACTATCCTGTGCAGCATCCTCGTTATGATTAGGGGTGTCCGCATTGATGTAGTGTACAGGCCAGTCGATCAGCTCGTGCCACTTCGGAGCAAGCGATCTCAAGATGGCGCTGATGAGATGACTTCCCCAATCTTTCATGAACCAGAAATGAAGCCCACCCTCGTGAAGAACAGTGCAGTAGTGTGCGAGCACAACCAAAGCTGCTGGGTGCTGGGCTTCCAACAGGGCCATGAATCCACTGCTGAGGACCATTGGCCAAGACACAGCAACATTCAACGCCGGAGTTGACGCTGATGCTATTCCGACGCTTTCTTGCAATCCAGAAATTGCGCCCTCAACAAGACTTTTGACCTCGGGACTCATATCGCCTGGATCCATTCTATTAATAGCACCCGTGACGCTTCGCAGTAAAGATTGCAATAGCTTACTACCTCCAGAATACCGGTCGCATTGCATGAAATCCCTTAATATGCCGTACCGCACATTTTCCTTGGCTGAAGTTAGAACGCCGCTGACCCCTCGGATAAGGGTGAAAATCTCTAGGATGTGGTCCACCCCCAGCCGGAGAGGGCTGTGTAATGCCGGGCTAGACGCGGCGAATGAACCGATGAATAACATTGATGATGCGGCAAACAGTGCGTGACAGTTCTGCGGAGTGACCTTGGAAATCTCGGCGTAAACTCCGCGAATCGCGTGTTGTTGGTGTTGCAAGCCCAGGGAAAGATTTTCCTGACGCTTCTGTGACTCAAGGCTTGCAAGATGGAATGCGGAGACTGCGAGGATCTGGTGCATGAGAAACGGATAGTCTACCGCCACCTGTGGTACCTTATCTCTCCATGTATGTAGATTGGCGCCGGGCAGGGTAGCGGAGGTCACAGACGTAAAGTGGTTCATCAGCCCGAGGTCCGCCGTCCAACAAGACCACCGCTCGGATGCGGTTTCGGCAGCGGTTTCGGCCGCCAAGGAGCACGGCGTTGTCAAAGAGGCTCCGGATGCGCCGCTGGACACCAGGGTTGGTGAGAATCCCCGACTTTCCAGATCCGAACCCGAATGGCCTTGTGTCGTCGGCAAAACCCCATTGATGGGAGATGGGGCTAGGCTGCAGGACATTTGCTGTCTAACGCAGGCGCCACATGGTTTCCTTTCATCGCACTGGAGCAGAATTAGCTCCCGAACTCCCAGATTTGAGTGGTTCGAGTTCGTTTGACGTACCTTGACTTTCCTCTGCTTGCAGGTGGAGCAACCGTTTCGCGACTTCTTGTGTCCAAGTCTGACCATATTGAGAAATTCAGCCGAGCAAGACGAGCGAGAATCCAGGTGCGATGAAGATGGTTTAGGTGCTGTTTGGAACGTAGTCCGCAAAAAGTAGGCGTGTGAATCCGAATCCGACCGGCCGTTCTTATATCAGATAGAGTTGCGGAGATCGATTGGTGTCAGCGGACTTTGTAAGCCACTCACAAGTCGTCCCGCCTAGATAGTTTGTAGCTCCCAAGGGGAACTGGGGTACCCCAGAAAGACATCCGCTTGATAATTCAACCATATTCCGGGCGGGATGTAAACATCAAGACATCAATATCGCCAAAGGCACGAGCATAGCCTCAATTCTAGATACGAAGGATGCGCGTATGAAATTTGTTTACAGATTTTGTATACGAAACGAAATTGCTGAATTATTGATGGAGAGACTTTGAGCAATGTTAAAAGAACAAAGAATCCAGAAGCATCAATTTTCTTTTTCGCCAACCAGACTAGCGCAACTTCGATTCGTCAACAGGAGGTTATAATACTGTATTAATCGTACTTGAAATTTTCTCTCTGTAATCTCCACTTCAAGCCATGGCTTCATCAATGCAGAACCCTGGATAATTCGTTTTCTATCACTATGATCCGTCTCTTCCAGCTGCGTGCACATTCATCGCTCTATTCGGCATCTCGTTTGCCCTGCATGTCTTCCAGATGATCAAGTTCCGGGCCTGGTACTTTGTAGCCTACAATTTCAACTACCACAGGCACCAAGTGTTAGCAAAGTCGACAGAAAATCAAGGAGAGCAGAGCAAAGCGATTTAATCACAGCAGCAGCCAATCAAAAGTGGTACATAGGTCGGGCGCTGTCTGCAACTGAGACTCCAAATTGGACCACAACATCATATACCATCCAGAGCCTGACGCTTCTTCTCGGGCCCGCACTCCTCGCTGCATCCATCTACATGGTTTTTGGCCGTCTGACCTGGTTCCTGGAAGCCGAACATCTGGCTTTGATTCGCACCAAATGGCTGACGAAGATCTTCGTTCTGGGAGATGTCATTTCATTCGTTACACAAGGCGCAGGTTCGCTTCCTCCACATTTTGGAATACGAGTGATCTTAGCTGACTTTTACAGGTGGCGCAATACTTTCCCGGGCCAAGTCGCTGAGTGATGTTGATGTCGGAGAAAACATTATAATCGCCGGCCTCGCTGTACAGATTGCCTTTTTCGGGGTCTTCATCATCGCCATATGCCTCTTCCATTACCGAATCAACAGATCGCCCACATGCCCCTCAAGCTCGGTCATACTAAGATGAAGACGCTTTATCTGGATCTTGTACGAAGCAAGCATCTTGATTATGGTTCGATCTGTGTTCATAGTGGCCGAGTATGTTACAGGCGGCAACAGACCGCTGATGGCAAGCGAAGTCTACATCTATGTTTTCGACGCGGCCTTCATGTTTATGGTCGCTGCCATGTTCAACCTCTTCCACCCTGGGAAAATCATCCGGATGGACCATAAGTTGACAGCGATCTCTGAAAGTAGCATGAGAGTTGGTCTGCAAACCTTGCCCTAGTAAGGGATGACTCGTCGTTGGTCTGGAGACTGATAACTAAAGTAGCAATCAACAGCGCTGCTAGGCGAGTTGTTGATGAGAGGTGTGTGGAGATTTCTCCCCTGTACTAGACTACTATTTGAGTCAGATTCACAGAAAAGAACATGTCACCGAATGAGAGGCTTAAGCTAGGGAGTCCTGCCCGTATGTAAGTAGCTTTAGGAGGCAATGTGAGATCTAGAACATGCCACGAAATGAGTTGTTAGTATTTATTACATGTCCATGGCAGAAGGATTTGACGTATTGTTATTGCAAAAACAACCAATGAAACAAGATCAGGTAATACCTGGCAATTCGGGAAAATCTTGACAAGAGACGATTTTACAAGATTGAAGTTGAAACGCTCGATTTTCAGAACAATCAAGGGGCACATTGTGCGACGTCCAGGCTTGTTTTGCTCTTTCGAAGCGGGATCAAGGACTTCAGTCGATCCTGCGTGTTCGAGCCTCGCACACAATTGGCGATATATAGATAAGAAAGGGGTATGTCATCCTTGTGTTTTGAAGCCAGGGACACCCTTCAGTTCCTAGATAGCTTCCTGGTTATGTTTGCTTTTGCAACGCACTCGGACATAAGACACAAGTTTTAGGAATGGTCATATTGGTCTTCTCAACATACGATCCGTTCCTATGAGCAGATTATTGAGTTGAATGGCTTCGGCAAAGTTGGCTCGGAGCAACCTGGAGAGAGTCACGCATATGACCTAGCCTACTCATAGCACACAAAAGTGTGAACAAGGTCAGAATAGAAGAGGGAAATCCAAAGATACTAAGAAAGACTGGTACTTGGATTCATGTATGCGATCGAAAGCGGTCATCGATGATGTTGGTACGACAACCCTTCGACAGAACAGCAACCCTCGGAGTTTTGTTGAGGAAATTTTGGCCCTCGTCGGGGGTTTCGCAGCAGGGGAAACGCTCAGAGTCTTATGTGAGATGAATTATCAATATCCGAAGCAAGTCATAGTTTTCATGAACGAAATTGATCTTCGATTATCCTGGAAATGTTTCATTGAGAGACTGCTTTGGTATACAAGTTCTACCCGGAAACATGTTGATATGTAACCCCCCAATTTCTGGTCACATCTTTTACACGAGACCTTTGAAGACGTTGCATTCAATCTATATAACAGTGTAATTTGCTAGATTATTAAAGTTCACCATGAAGCTTGATTGGAGGACTTAATCAAAGAAGCCTTGAGAACGAATGAGCGGTATGCTCAGCCATGAGTCAGTTAGAACTCCAGAGACTGCGTTGAGATTCCTCTTTTGCCCTGTAACTGTTGCGCTGCAAGTTTCTGGAACACGCGCTAATCTCCCTGAGGACACTAAAACCAACTTCCCCAGAGAATAGAGTTGTCTCTTATGAGACCTGCGCCACTTGTAATAAGGGAGCCCGCCGGCCGCCCGCACGTCTGAAGGCCGGGCGGCGCATGACCCCACACGGACTTTACCCCGTTTTTCGCAGCCCGTTGACCGCAAGGCACGAATGGCGGTATGTCCACCAGCGGTGAGCAGGTTCGGACAATTATCAGATCTCAACTCTTTACTTGAAACCAGGGTAGTCACTGTTGGTAATAGATCATGGGGTAGGATGCCGGAGTTCAGCCTTGGTGTTACGCGTTCTAGAATGCTTCAAACTCTATTTCCGCTGAAACCGCCAGTACGGCGGTAGGTACATGTATGCACCGTTTGAAAGAGTTGCAGGAGCCCTACCGGACATACCGGGTGCTAATATTTCAGATGGCGAGTAATGAATGTATCGGATGAGTTCCACTTCGGCATGGTGCTCCCACGTTCGGTCACTTATGCCGAGCCAAAATAGGTTGCATCAGATGAACCGGCGCCCGTCCACAGCCCCTGGTCCTTGAATCCGATACCGAGTGTGTGGAATGCCGGTACGTAGAGCAAGTTTACGTGGAACATAGCTTCGCAGAGGATAAACGAAAGCAAAGAATATATAAAGCGCAGACATTTCAGTAATCCGGAATATGTTGCTGCCCACCTTCATTACGACAGCTTAACTCACTACAAGCACCTGACCCAATTCCTTCTTTTTAATTCTCCGAAGAAACATTTTACGACAGAGATACCCCCACTCCAGAAATCAAAATGCTGTTCAAGTCCGCCATCGCCGTCGCCACTCTCTTGCAGTTCGCGCTCCCCGCATCAGCGGCATTCATTTTCTGCGCGGGAGCTCCCGCCGATGGTAGCTGCCCAGCTGATAAGGGAACTAAGTCTAAGGTTGGTCAATCGATAGATTTCTCCGTGCGAAACCCATCAGGCCTGTGCTAACTTGTATATTCACAGTGCCAGGATGTTTGCGGCAACTGCCAGCCCAGGTGCTTCGGAGGCGGTGTGAAAGATCTGGGCGCAACATGCTGCACTCAGTCTGATGGAACCATCAACATCTTCTGCTTCAGAACAGGAAAGAACACCTGCTAGTGTAAGGTACGATAAAAGGCGGTAAATGGTTATGAGATAAAAGAGCAAATAAATCATGCCGTAAGCAGCGCTTGCGGCTTTTCTTCAGCGCAGTTGTGATAGCTCACATGCATGCATGTATGAAGCCTGCTACTCACTAGTGACCAAAAGCCACAATGCGAATTAACCTGACCAGGCCGACATTTGGGGAGCATATCCCAAGGGATATGAATAGAATTGCAACTTCGCATGTCTATCTGCAATATTAGATGGCTTCACACACGTATTGAGAAAGGTCGGGATTCGAGCCCTCAGTTGGGGAAAGCGGGGTGCAGAAGCAAAGACGGGGAAATCGGCACGATCCAGAGGGCCACTACCCCAGGTTAGTCAAGTCCATTGCCAGGGTTTGGTTCAGCATTTCCTTTTCTGGCCTGCTCTGAGGCCTTTCGGCTGCTTCCCCGCGACTTACTCCGCCGAAGCCATGAACGCCGCGGGCTGCTGCTCGCTTGCAAATAGCACGACAACCGACATCTCACGGACAAATCACTTGCGATGTTGCATCAACAAACCAGCAGTGCTTTTATGCAGTTATGTTATATGAAGTTCACCCTTCCTATGCAGTTTACCCGTCGTCGCATCTAGATCACCAGAAGACGGGAGGAGCTCAACCGCCCCAGACTCCTCTCACATCTTCTACCAAAATGTTGTTGTCTCATGGGACATGGCAATTCTTTGCCACCATTGCCTTCTTTGCATCTAGCTCATCCGCAGAATGCTGGAGAACGACTACCTGCGATGGACCAGACTCGGCAGCATTCCCCGGAGATTGGGACAAATACAATTATGCCCCCAGCTCTCGCAATGTAACGCCCAAGTTCATTCTTTCCCTTCCTTCCGGCGAAAAGATATCAGATTTCAATTCCTCAGTTGCGCTTTCACCGGACAGCAAAGGATTTGTGTTTGACTTTGGCATCGAAGTCGGCGGCATAGTCACCGTTGACTACGAGCTCTCTGGGTCTAGCAACGCTACTCTTGGACTCGCCTTCACGGAGGCCAAGGACTATATCGGTCAAAAATCAGACAACTCCAACGGCGGAACTGGCCAGGACGGTGCCCTTACTTACCACATCACATCCGAAGGTCCTGGGACCTACGTCATGCCCGACGCCAAATTGCGCGGCGGCTTCCGGTATCTCACGTTATTTCTCACAAATATTCAGTCAAAGGCAACGTTGGCAATCCGCAACATAAGTCTTGAGATCAGCTTTCAGCCAACCTGGTCGGATCTTAGGGCATACCAGGGGTATTTCCATTCCAGTGAGGAGCTTCTGAACCAAATCTGGTACAGCGGCGCGTACACGCTGCAGACAAATTCTGTTCCCGGTAAGACTGGACGTGTCGGCACAAGTACCTTGAAGTCTGGGTGGCAGAATGACGCATATATCGGCCCAGGAAACACCGTTCTTCTCGATGGAGCAAAAAGGGATCGCTGGGTTTGGATTGGAGACATGGGTACGGCAGTGCCGAGTGCGTTTGTGAGCACTGGCGACATGGAGAGTACCAAAAACGCATTGCAGGCAATCTACGACAATCAAGTCAGTAATTTTCGTCTCGTTTGAAGCCATCACCTGACTTTCGACAGGGATCAGATGGTACATTACCAAAAGCCGGACCTCCTTATCCCTCAAAAGACAGTGATAGTAAGTCAGCCGTATCTGGATGCAAGTATCAACAGCGGAGAGTTAACGAAGCATTGCCAGCCTATCATTTGTGGGCGCTGGTTGGCACGTACAACTACTTCTTGTATACCGGAGACGAAGAGTTCATGGTTTCCATTTGGGCCAAGTATCTGAAAGCTATTGCCAACAGCAGGGCAAAGGTCAACTCCAAAGGTATCATGGCTGTTACGGGAGAGAAGGACTGGGGACGTTGGACATATTCGAATGAGCGAAGCTCAGCAAGTATGCTGTGAGTAAGCCCCTCGTTCAGGAAAGTACTGGCCATGCTAATGGACTTAGCTTGTACCGTGCACTCAAGACTGGTGCCGACATCGCGTCGTGGGCACCTGAGCTCACCAATGCTTCCACTTACAAACAAGAATGGCTGGATGCTGCAGCAACGCTTCAGCGTTCCATTATGGCAAACCTGTGGGATAGTGGCAAAGGTGCTTTCAAGGAAAGCCCCAACGACACATCACTATACCCTCAAGATGCTAACAGCATGGCTGTGGCCTTTGGCGTGGTGTCAGCTAACAGCACCGAGGCACAGCAAATATCGGACTATCTCGAGTCGAATTGGACGCCGATTGGGCCTCGCTGCCCCGAGCTCGCAAACAACATCTCTCCATTCATCTCTAGCATTGAGCTTTCAACTCATTTCCGCGCCGGACGAGCTGACCGAGCTCTGAATCTGATCAGGGATGCATGGGGGTGGTACCTGAACCATCCCAACGGCACTCAATCCACCGTTCCGGAGGGATATCTAGTGAACGGTACATGGGGCTATCGGGGAGATCGAGGTTATAGGAATGATCCTACGTACATGTCTCACGCCCATGGATGGAGCAGTGGACCAACCTCGACCATGACTGAGTATCTAGTCGGTTTGAGAGTAGTCAAGCCTGGAGGCAGCGAATGGCAGCTGAAGCCCGTGCTGAGTGAGATTTCCGAGGTAGAGGCTGGATTCACTACCAGTTTGGGGAAGTTTTCTGCAAAATTCAGAGTGGGAGACAATGGTACAGCAGTTGTAGAATGGAGCACGCCGGCGAACACGAAGGGCAATTTGGTGTTGCCAGGGAAAGAGTTGCTTAGGGTCAAAGGTGGAACGGGTTCCACTACCATCAGTATTTGAGCTAGAATACTTTTCGACGCATGATATGCCGCTCCTGAGTTCATAGCCAAGACGATGATGGCGCTGAGTGGGCGTTGCTGACTGCCTACAGAACAAGAGTATCTGCCCGGTTCACACATGACCATACCTCTGCCATCATCGAAACAGTCTTGACCAAAGATCAAGCCTGAACCGATCAGGCCTCCCTAGTTGGTACTAAAACACTCCTCCACCAGGTTTTCATGGCTTTCGTGCAATCCCCGCCATCTTTGAAATTGCCTTCCATGACGAGGAAGTCATGAGCATACTGCGGCTGCAGGTCGAACTGCACAGGTAGCTTAGGATTACCACGGCGCACCTTATCCACGAACTCAACGTCCTGGTCTAGGAAGACTTCTTGCTCGCCGGCGGTGACATACAAATTTTTGACAACCTTGCTGAGCCCATCATCCCAGATGTCATGCTTGTGCAGTGAAAAGACGCGGCTTCTGGGGTTCTGAGAGTTTTCCGACGGCCCAATTTCTTCAAGGATGTCTCTCGCAGCTTTTTGAATAGGCCACGACGATAGCAAGTCAACATTGGAGTTTTTAGCGAATGAATTGTCGTTTGTGCGATCGCTTAGCCATGGAGACACAAGGCATGCGCCACCTAAAGGCTCGGCGAGCTGAACCTGCGCGACCCTAGGGTGAGGCTGAACCAGATGCCCTAAGACCTGTGCCACCAGATTACCACCGGCCGAGTCTCCAGCGAGAAAAATATCGCCGGGCTGGAAGCCGGACTTGATGAGATGGGAGAGGGCGCTCGCAGCTTGGATGAGCTGACTGGGATACTTCACTTCAGGGCAAAGTGTGTACTCGAGCACGGCTACCGCAGTTTCGACGTCTTCTTCGATGCCAGCGGTAACGTAGGCTCGCCAGCTCCAATCCAGATGCCCATCTAGTAAAGGGATGACGTAACCGCCTCCGTGGAGGAAAAGGACAACCTTTTTGGCCTTGCTTTTGTCTCCTACCCAAAGCAGGAAAGACTTGCCATCCTCGAGGGTCTCGACGTCGTGACTTAGTCTGTCGAGGACGACACGATCGTTGACATTCTGGGCCTTTTGAATTTTGCGGCGCACCCAGCCGTCATACGTCTTTCTCGTCGCAGGTGTGACGAACTGGATTTGACGGGCGCGAAGACTGTACAGGTAGGTTTTCGCAAAAGCGGCGAGAACATAGAATCGCAGGGGTAGCCCTCTGATCCAAGCGACGGAGACGACAGTCACTAGGTTCATGAGCAGCTGCAGGGGGACTGATGAGCACGGTTAGTAACATCTCTCACATTGGAGCCGCTGAACCTACAGATGAAAATCAGGCGCAAGGCCAGGCGCAGCTTTTCCTGCAGAGAAAATTCTGGATTCATGATGGTAATGACTGAACCTCTCTTGAATGGTAAAAGAAAGACTTTCGAGCCAGATTTAGGAAGACGCGTTGTGAGGGGGGCTGGGTGGATTGATTTATCAGCCACCAATGAAACATGCAGCTATCTCCAGCCGAGGCTCCCCACTTCAGCTGTTCAGATGAACCGCCGACATGTCACAGCTTGGCACATGTACCCAGCCGTGGACTCAAAACAGTCGAGCAGAAGATGAGTGGTCAAATGAATGCGCCAAGCACCTTACGTAAATCGAGAAGAAACCATGAAAAGCAAATTTGGCGCATCCGCACGGCTTCCGAGTCGTGAATGTTCAACCGGTAGTAGTGTTGAGGGTAGTTTTATTTATGACGGACGAAGTAAATAGACTGAAGCGGCTGGCACAAATGATGGAGTATAACTGTATAACACTAGCCTGATTACCCGTTATCGATCATTGCACTTTGTGCGCATCTCATTGAGTCATGCGTAATATCTTCAATTCATCAATGACTTTAGTCCTCTAAGCCAAGAGCTGACCAAGTTCTCTGACAGCTCTGCTCTAGGAGGAAGCGGTTCCACCTCTGCGGGTAGCGACGAATCATGGCTTCCTCAAGCTTCTCAGAATCTCCAGCCTTCTCCAGCTCTTCTTCGAATGCCAGTATATAAGCCCTCGTGGCCTCAATCAGATATGATCCATCGATCTGGGAGGCTCGTTTGTGGCCAGGCACGACAATGTGAGGATCCAAGGCCGCTATTTGGTCCAAAGACTGAAGCCACATTTGTCTTTTCTCGGGAGTATTGGCTTCACCAAGGAACTGATAACAATCCCCGTACACTATGTCTCCGCACACAACGAGTTTGAGGTCTGGAACGTGAAGAAATGACGAAGCATCTGTGTCAGAGTGCGGTACGTCGATGCCTTGGAGTAGGTGGCCATCAATATCAAACTTTCCGTCCGCAGGCAAAGCGTTGGGGATATGCTGGTCGCCAGCGATCTGCTTGTTGGGAAAGAGCTTGTCCCAGAACGCCAGACTGCCAGGCCATTGTTTCCGGATGCCATCAACAACGGAGACAGTGGCAACGCATTTGGCTTCTGGGAAATGGCGGAGAAGAATGGGGTTGCCGAGAAAATGATCTCCGTGTAGATGCGTGGTGTAGATGTACAGCAACTTCTTGCCAGGGGCTGTCTTTTTTATCCAGGCAGCGAGGCCTTCGGACAGTTCGATGGTGGCCGGCGTATCGACCAAAACTGCTGATGTTGGCCCTTGGATGAGGGTGCAGGATGTGGGCGAGAACCATCTTTTAGATGGATCTAGGTGGCCGGTGGCTATGGGTGCAGCCGGTGCAACATACACATCGACCTGAAGATTGCTGATCATGATTGAGTATGTGACGAATTGAGAAGAAGTTACTCAAGGCTTGACAGACGATACTGCGGCCACCTCAATGTTCCTCGGTGGCTTCTTATATGTAGGTTTCTCGTTGAGTATTACCAACAATGACAAGGATATCTCGGTAATCATCAAGCTCAGCAAGAACAACTCGAAAGCAGTTATCTCCAGCTACGGAATACGAGTACGAGACGGCGGACATGCATCTCGTCTTGGGTCCGCGAGAGGATTGCTAAGCAGAACCATGATCAGGACGAAGACTCGTGTCATAGATCAATACACTTTGCCAAGCCGTGCTCTATCCCATTGGCAGCAACTAATTTGACATGATCAAGATCACATATTGGCCAGTGGCCCAGTTTGCAGTGTCGTAGTTATCGCCGATGTGGGGTTGATGCGAACAATTGGTCCACTAAGAGCAAGCCAAGTTGATTACTGAACAGAACCGCGGTCGTCAACTCCCGGTGCGCGGCCAGTCTGACAGGGTTTAATAAGGCATTGCAGGTCACGGATGTTTTAGATGGCCAAAACTTGCTTGGAAAGGCCTACTGAGGTTTTTACAAGTTGGTATCATCACTATCTAAAGCATGGTATTTGTAAGCCGTTGGATAAGTTGAGGGCGAGAACTCTGTCTATGGCGCCATCACCGCCATCAGCTTCAATCATTTTGACTCGTGGTGAATGGATGAAGTGTAAAGGGAATTTCACGTGGATCTGTCCAGCTGGAGTGTCTCAGCGTCAAATTTCAAAGATATAAGTTGGTCAGAAGGGCCGTGTTTAGATCATGTTCAAACCGAGAGCACCATCGTCCCATCGTCTCATCGCCCGAAACCTTTGATTATCTGTCTTGACTTCAACTTCTATCAACATGAGCTCGACTTCTATCCGAAAAGTTGTCGTCATTGGTGCAAGCGGCAACGTCGGAAGTTCAGCAATCAAGGCACTCTTGGATGACGGGTTCCAGGTCACTGGACTTACTCGAAAAACTTCGGCAGCATCGCTGCCAGAGGGCGTCACTCATGTGAAAAGCGACTTTTCTAAGGCCTCGCTGGCGAACGTTTTCAAGGGCCAAGACGCAGTTGTCAGCACCTTGTCAAGCATATCCCCAGCTGGTGCCCTGGCCTCTCAGAACTTCCTCATAGATGCGGCCATAGCTGCAGGAGTCAAGGTCTTCATCCCTTCAGAGTATGGGGTTGACACATCTGATCTATCGGCCCCGGAGATCATCCCTTTTCTTATCGACAAGGTTGAAACTCTCAACTATCTCAAAAAGAGTCAGGACAGAATCTCATGGACTGCCATCGTCTCCGGGGCTATGTTCGACTGGGGCTTGGCGATCCCTGGTTTCGGGGGTTGGAACGTGGCTGCCCGAACTGTCACAATTTACGACGGCGGAGACATTCCCTTCGACGCCACCAACTTGGACCAGGTCGGCAGAGCCATCTCCAAGTCTCTGAAGAACCCGGAGCTCACCCAGAACCAATACGTCTATGTCAACAGCTTCACAATCACTCAGAACCAGGTTCTGCGAGCCCTCGAGAAAGCCACCGGAGACAAATTTGATGTCTCTCATGGTTCTGTCGAAGAACTATGGCAAACCGGTGCTGCTCAAGTCCGAGACGGGCAGCCGCTGGGTGCTCTTGGGCTAATCGCAGGTGCTGTCTATGGAAAAGGAGGGTTGGCACAGTACTCGGCCAAGAATGGCCTTTGGAATGAGAAATTGGGATTACCAGAGGAGGATCTTGAGCAGTTCTTGGAGCGCTATGTTACAGGAAAACAGTGACACTGCGTTAGTGCCATCGCCAAGGGCCCATGCCATAATCCGCCATAGCCATGGATAACACACAGTACCTCGTAGTCAAGATAACACTGGATTCGCATTCACAGATCCAGATTTAAGCAAGAAACCATATCAATCCAAAAGACGGACTGGAAGTGACAAGTGATAATACGGAGCCCACAGCCATTCAATGGCAATGCCTGTTAAAGCCGCTGTCGCAGTGACGATTAGGTACCCAGCTCCAGAGCCGAGTCAAAGATTGGCCTCTGAAATGCGGGGGTTCCCCACCGACAATCTGCGGAAATAGAAGGGGACTGTGAGCCACGGCACGGGACGTCCGTTAGTGGAGAAAGCCACTGGAAGTCACTGAGACTCTAGATAATGCTGGCGGATCAAGGCAAAATGGTGCAAGGGCCGAGTCAACTGTGCCTTCAACCCGTGTAGGCCAAGCCAGTGTCAGAACTAACTCTGTTGACGAGTCACATAAATAAGCCTCAATTCCAGACGAAAATGAAATTCAGCTGTTGTTTCTTGCTGCATTTTCTTGCTTACTTCCAGGAGAATTGAAGCATTCAAAATGAGCTCCGAAGATTTCCTCCTGATTCTGATGCCGTGGACACCGGACCCGGCCTGGGTTGCTAGTCTCGGAATGCCGGTTGAGTCCCGGAAGATCGGAATGTACCAAACAGAACTGCCGGGCGACATCAGCCCGGAGACATGGGCCAAGGTCACTGTCCTTTTTACGTGGAAGTCATTCCCAACCAAAGAAATGGTGCCGAATTTGAAGTACTGCCAGCTTCTCAGCGCTGGGTGCAACCAGATCTTAGGACTGCCGCTCTTTGAAGAGACAACCATCGATTTTTGCACATCCAATGGGACGCACCCGTAAGCAACCAACGCAGAGCCAGGACGCTGTTTCTCGTAGCTTACATAAAACAGGCCTCAAATCGCGGAATGGGTCTTTTCGACTTTCTTGGCTTTCCAACATCACAGTAGGCCTACTATGAAGCTCTGCATACCAACGACTGCTGACGCATCCCAAGTTCCCGAATACCTTGACAATCAGAAAGAGTCCAAATGGATCGACCCTCCATCAGATGAAGACACTGAGGATTCAGTAGGTCTGCGAGTGTATGTGCCAAACCCCGACACCACCACCCAGAGTTTCAACTAACAAGACCTAGAGGAATCCTCGGCTACGGCTGCGTCGGCCACCAAGTCGCCCATGTAGCCAAAGCTTTCGGGATGAGCATCCACGCTTACACCCTGCATCCACGCCTCACACCTGAGTCCCGCAAAGACGACTCTTTCACGGAGCCGGGTCTAGGAGACCCCAACGGCGAGTATCCATCCAAGTGGTTCTACGGCAAAGATCAGCTAGACGACTTTCTCGCCTCGGATCTTGATCTGTTGGTCATCACGCTGCCCCTGACGGACCAGACTAAGGGGATGATCTCTCGCGAGCAATTCCAATTGTTGAGCAAGAAGAGAACTTACGTTTCTAATGCCGGAAGAGGCGCCGTGATCAACACCGACGATCTTGTCGATGCGCTTGATGGGGGCCTCATCAGAGGCGCGGCACTGGATGTGACAGATCCGGAGCCGCTTCCTGCTGAGCATAAGTTGTGGACGTACAAGAATGTTATCATCACACCCCACTGTGCTGGAAACTCAAATCATTACTATGAGAGAGTGCGTAAGATACTTGTTTACAACCTGGAGAGACGCGCCAAGGGCCAGAAGCTTGTCAACATTGTGAGCCGGTCAGAGAGATACTAGACTAGAAGATCTTGACGTTGGTGTACATACATCGTATCTGTCTACCATACTTTTAAAGTGATATCAACGAAGTAGTATTTGGCTGTTACTTGGTGATCTATTTTCCACAGCAAGCTCTCTATCATTTGTGAGTTCGCAACGGGGAGCTCTCTGGTAGGGTTGGGATCATATATGATGTGGTGGCAAACTTGAGTGAATTCACGAAAACTGGGGTGTGAAACTGATTGCTTCGGTATTCTTCCTACGCTCACGTCACGATGCTGTCAAATTTTAGGGTGTCATCTCAGCCAGCATTCAAGGTTGGCGATTAGGGATAATTCTGAGTACTTTGTGAACTCAGCCAACATATTTCTTCGACCTGTGAGTGCCGTCTCTGTTGTAGCACTTCTACTATCGCCGTCCCTACTATCGCCGTCCCTACCACCGTTGTCTCTATCTTCGCCTACACTATTTCTAGCCACTCGGGCAGCACAACTTTCTGCGTTTCTTGTGAGCACTCAACGACCACATAAAGCGAATCAAGTTATCGAGAGCAGAATATTATATTTGTTTACTAAATGTAGACCGTTCAAGTGAACGCAGCGCTATAGATGGCATATATGTATTCGGAGTTTCAGCAAGAAGCTGCCACGCGAATTGCTTGACTAGCAGCCTCGCTTGTGAGCTCATTACTCCAGCTCACAGCTTTGCCAAGACTCCGTTGGCTTGAAGGAGTGATAGATGTCCTTTGTTGATGTCTTTGACAGTCTTGCATCTGAAAATGGTCAGTGTGGTTTCTCGTCAACTTCGTCTGGGACACCTACCCAGCAAGACACATGGCTAGCTTCAACTCATCGCGAAGCAGATTGACTGCCAACTGGACACCTTCAGATCCATTATACTAATCCCGGATACATCAGTTTCTTTGGTAACAATCAATGATGGTGTTGGAATCCCACTTACTGCCAGTCCCCAGATGGGAACTCGTCCTGCGAAACAGAAGTCCGCACCAAGGGCAAGAGCCTTGAATATGTCAGTGCCTCGCCGGATCCCACCGTCGACTGCAATCTTGATCTTCCCCTTTGCGATAGGGGCACATTCTCTCAGGGCATCGAGAGTAGCTGGAACGCCATCAAGTTGCCGGCCGCCATGATTCGAAATGAGTACACCGTCAACACCATGCTCGATGGCCAGTGCAACATCGTCTGCGGTGTAGACTGGGAACTGGGTCAGATTGGTTCTTTACGGTCTCGGTCAATGGGTGCGTTACCTCCTTTGAGCCATACATCCAGCTTAGTGTTCTCCCTTATCCAGCCGAGGGCCTGCTCCCAATTCATACCGTCCTCTGACGGATGTTAGCATCTCTATAAAATATGGGTGCCCGAACGTTCTATTACCATATGTCAAGTCAAGGCCTTGATCGACGAGGTTTCTCATGTCCATGCCTGGTGCAATGTTGGGATACCCCATTCCTTCGGGCAGACCAAATGCGTTCCTGTACTCGTTCAAGCGACGACCAAGCATCGGCGCGTCCACCGTCATCATGACGGCCTTGTATCCTGCGTCTGTTCACGGGCCGAGTCAGCAAGCATCATCGCAGCCATTTCACCCGTCTGACTTACGCTCCGCCCTCTGGAGGATCTGTCTAGTGATGTCTCGATTCTTCAAGATACTAAACTGCATGATGTACGGGTTCCCCTGGCCTTGTGCGATGACATCTTCGAGAGAGCAAGTGGCGTACGCAGAGAGTGCCATCGGAATGCCCGCCGCCGCGGCAGCTCGGGACGTCGCTACCTCTCCCTCCGGATGCGCCAACTTATGAGTTGCTGCAGGTGAGAATCCGAAAGGTAGCGCCACCTTCACGCCGAAGATTGTGGTGGATGTGTCGATGTTGGACACGTCTCTGAGGACTCGGGGTCTGATCTTGTAGCGGTTGTAGGCATCCTCATTGTCTTGAACTCTGTATTTTGATGTCAGCTGATGATGAGAGACTCATTCGATAGCAAGACCCACGTAATCATGTCCATGGCACCTTCATTGAAGAATTCTGCCGCAGGGATCAGTCTCAGTCTAGCCTCGGCGTTTACCTCAAAGTGCTAACCTTTGTAAGCCCGGGGAAGCTTCTTGGAAGCTTCTTCCTTCAGGTCTTTGATACTGAAGACCTTTTCATCAAGAGTCTTTCCGCGGTTAGCCATGCTGGAGATCGTTTTTCAAGGCGAACAACTGGATAATGAGATTGGTTGTGAGCTTGCCCAAAATCGGAAATATTGACTGGCGGAAATCAAGCATCGCGACGGTGATCCAACAGCTATACACATATGAAAGTCATTGAAAACATGGGCACGAACTCATTTGGCGTATTCCACATCCCCGGCCGATTTGGTTTCTCGGGCGGTGCGGGGGCGGAGCGGCGGTTGAGCCGAGTCATATCTGACTCGGCCCGCAGCTAGGCGGCACACCCCGCGTTCCTCCCCCGACCACTGCAATCACAACCAAGTTCGTTCCGTGTGATGAATTTCCCATTTGAGTTTCTTTAGGCAATCGAGGTAAAAACCATGTCATTGCGGGGCAGTAGTCCCGTTGACTTCATCCCCGGGCATGCTACGGCCGTGTGGGGTTGCACGGGAGCCATGTGTATTGAATGCTGGCGGGGGAGGAGCTCCAACGGATTGCCTATCTCTCATTATTTCCATCACTCTCCAGGCTTCACTGTATTGATCATCGGTGCATCCCTTATCTGATGTCAGTTGGCAGGGGTAACAATCATGCACATGATACACCCTCTTCTATCACACAAAGCCGGGGAGCTTGCTAGTTGGTTGGAGCATGAACCCATTTGGGTAAAAGAACGCGCAGCCTTTCGATGATTTTGGTGTACTCGTTGGTTCCGAAGCCTTGGTTCTGAACATTGACTTCACATCCATATGGAACGTCGAGAATCTCAGCAGTCGCGATGTCACCCGTCAAAGAACGTGTGGTGTTGACATGTATCACGAAACGATAGGAGATAGAGAGAGGGAGACATGAAGCTTTCAGGGAATATTTAAGATAGATACAGGTCTAATAGATGTAAAGAGTCCGATCTTGACTTCATAGGTGAAGCTTCTCGCGCCACATCTACTAGCTGCTGTGTGTGCTCATCAACAGTTAACCATTGTTCGTCATGGCGCTCTCTATAACGCTGCAAAGCCCTGGAAAGAGCTTCTTCCACAACTACCGAGTCTACCTACTAGCAACCGTGTCTTACATGGGCTCGCTCCTATTCGGTTCGGTCCCATGCTCCCGAAAACAAGCCAAAGCCCGTATGCTAACTCTACCAGGCTACGATGTAGGCGTCATGGGCGGCCTCCTCCCCTTCGAAAGCTTCAAACGCGACTTCGGCCTCCCATCCGGCTCATCGGGTTTCGCCGACGAGAAAGTCGCCGAAGTCTCCTCCAACGTCGTCTCGCTCCTGACAGCCGGCTGCTTCTTCGGCGCCCTCTCCGCAGCCCTCGCCAACGAACGGTATGGGCGGCGCTACTCCCTCATGGCTTACTCCGTCGTCTTTCTCCTCGGGGCATCCCTGCAGGTGGGCTCGCCGAAGAGTCTGCAGTACGTCTACGCGGGCAGGGTCATCGCCGGCCTGGGCATCGGGGGCATGAGCTCAATCACGCCCGTCTTCGTCGCTGAGACCGCGCCGCCTGAGGTACGAGGCCGTATCACCGGTCTTTTCCAGGAATTTTTGGTTCTCGGAAGCAGTATTGCGTACTGGCTTAACTACGGCGTGGAGAGAAACATGCCGTCTACAACAAAACAGTGGAGGATCCCCTTGGGCGTGCAGCTGGTTCCCGCAGGCCTGCTACTGATCGGGTTGATCCCACTGAAAGAGTCCCCGCGGTGGCTGGCTAAGCACGGTCGGAACGAAGAGGCGCTGGCTTCTCTAGCTTACATGCGTAATCAGCCGACCAATGACCCCGACGTTGTCAGCGAGTTCAACGAGATCACCGTGTCATGTGGCGTCGACGCCGAAGCAGCGCGCCAGTCAACTTGGAAAGAGTGCCTCAAGCCCGGCGTGCGGAACAGATTCCTGCTCATCTTCGCACTCATGGTGTGGCAGCAGCTCACTGGCACGAACTCCATAGGCTACTACGCCCCTCAGATCTTCCAAACTGTTGGCGTCTCGAGCGCCGACGCGTCGTTGTTCGCGACGGGTATCTACGGCATCGTGAAGCTCATCTTCGCTGCTGTGTCTCTTCTCTTCGTCATTGACAAGATTGGCAGGCGCTGGGCCCATACACTCGGTGGGTTATGGATGTATGTTGCGTGCTCCGGCGTGGCTGGGTCATCGTACTGACGTGCTCCAGGTCCGCCATGATGTTCATCCTCGCTGCCGTCCTGGCCACTCATCCCCCTGAGGATGGTAAGGCAGTGTCCTCGGCGTCGATCGCCATGTGTGTCCTCATCTATCTTTATGTGATCGCCTACACGGGCTCCTGGGGTCCTGGGTGAGTTGCCTCCATGAGCCAAGAGTTGCGAGTTGCGACTGACAACTATAGGCCATGGATCTACGCAGGAGAGATCTTCCCGACACATCTCAGGTCGTACGGGGTGGCATTCGCTGGTATGTTATGCAGCACGATCTTTCTGGATCAACGAGCTGATGAGTCCTCAGCCGCCACTCAGTGGCTGTTCAACTTCATAGTCACCCGCGTCACGCCGCAGATCATCTACGGAATCGGCTGGAAGACTTTCATCATCTTCGGCGTCTTCTGTCTCGCCATGAGTATCTTTACGTTCTTCTTCATGAAGGAGACGAAGGGGATGAGTCTTGAACAAGTCGATGTCTTGTTTGGGGCGGCGGGGCAGCGCGGCGGCCATCTCGAAGCCGGCGAGACTGAGGTAGTGCACGGCGTGGAGATAGAAGAGCACGTGAAAGGCGAATCGCACTCCAAGGGCGAAGATGATTGAGAGGGCGACTGTCTTGGATAGAAAACACGCCACTGTAGAATTTGGGGGTTGTTGCCATTAGCAAATATGTGAAGATGGAGGGGGTTCGGGTCATGATGGGATGGATGGCTGACCGAGTGAATGCGAGTGTAGCTCGCCAAAATTAGTTTACAGTACAGCAGATAGGGCACCTCGGGATATCTCGAGAGTGGAAATAGAGATCTTGTATCAAATTCTAGGCCCCATCGGCAGTGTCGTCCCTCACCCACTCTCGTCTTCGAAAGCGCGACTTACGCGTTCGACCCCGAGCTATCGGGTTTCCCACAATCACAGAATGCAAAGACGCATTCCGAGCTCTTAGCAGTAGTCTACCTCAGGGGTGTTTCTCCCAGACGTAACAGGATCAGGGCCCGGTGTCCAAAGAACGTAGTATCGCGCGGTAGATAGCAGCGCGCCCACAAGGCCCTGCCAACCTGCACCGGGCCCTTGGAAGAGAGGTCGCATTCTCCTGTTGAGAAAGGATTGCCTCCCAAGGTCGGAATGCTTCATCGGCAAAATGCTCCTGTTCCTATGATATCAACGCCCGCAAGGCCGGCCAGCAATCTCGCCGGCCGGTCTCCAGATACGCCAAGATCCGCCCGAGCTCCAACCACGGTATGCTGATGACAACCAAACTTCCAGATCCAACCGGCGAGAAATCGCAAGCATTCAAACAAAACCGACACGGTCCATCAAGCGTCATGTCCACCGCCGCAGGATCAAACAGCCCGGCAAAACACAACAGCAGCAACCAAACATGTCCAAAGGTCAATACTTCTCATATGCCACATTACAGGCGCAGTCGCATTTGTGACAAACGCGTCAGACCCGTCGACGCAAACTCGCTTCGTCATCTTCGACGCTGTCGCCAGCTTCAACCCTCCAGCCCATCTTGGCAACCCCGCCAAGACCGCTCTCGAGAATGCAGCCCCAAACTATCGCCGACCGAACACCGTCCAACCTCCATCTCAGCCCTCCAAGACTCCCGTTCATCGCCAAGACGACCGGAGACTTTTCCAGTCGACGCAACTCAAAACACACGCCGCCGAAAAGGAAAACGCTGGTTTTCTCGACTCTGGAGCGCGCGCTTCGGCGAGCGGCGAAGCAGCGGCCGATGGAGGAAGAAGAACGGATGAAAACGCGGAAATGCAACCCGGAGAAAAGTCCCTAAACTCAAAATTCGTTTGCCCGTCGGGCTCCATCCGCAATGCCCACGATAACGTCCGGAAATGCCCTCACTCGAAGGTTTTCCCACCGTGGAACTGGGGAGGGATAGCCCACTCACACCATCGCGACGCAGCCCAAAATAAAACTCTGAAAGGGAGACGCAGAAGAGGCCGAATAGCGAGGGTTCTCTTATCGTGCACTTGCCACATACCCAAAAAGCATAGCATAACATGGCATGCGCAGGAACCCAAGTTCCTCACTCGCGAGCGATGAAGCAAAGGAAGAGAGAGAGAGAGTCATGAAAATAAACCTTTTCCACATCAAAACACCTCCCACTTTCCACCCGTCCAGCGGCGCGACCTAAGAAAGATGAGATAAGGCCATATTTAAACATCAATCAATCTGAAGAAAAGGGGAATGGGACCCGAGGACGCTAAGGCTTAAGCATGCCCTCTACTAAGTAAAGAAAATTCTCCTAATTAAAAATCTAGGGCCCCGGTATGCTCCAGCGTCACATCACACGCAAACAAAAGCATATCACCCCCTGTCAACAGCTAGCCCCCCCTAAGCCCCAGCGTCACAGACCACCGCTTCTCCGTCCCAACTCCGGACCACAGAAAATCACATGAAACACCGTCTCGACAACGCACAAACCACCTCGTGTTTCGGACCAAGGTCCGCGACCTGGCCCCCCTCGTCCCCCGACACCTGCCAAGATCTAGATTGCTGGCTCAGATTCTTCAAGTGAGCGGGATGGCAGGCTGACATAATCGGTTGCATGAAGGTGCCAGCCAGAAAAGAGAGGAAGACGAGACGAGAGCGCGATGATCAGACGCCGCAGCTTGGACTGGGGCATCCCACACGAACTCACCCACACACACTTTGGGAGGTGCCGTTGCTTTCGGTATACCTCCTGCCACCCCAAGATTCCTTGGCCCGAAAGTGAGTGTGTTCAACCCAAGTGAGATTAAGGTTGTCAGGCTGTTGGCGGAAGTTTGCCCACCACCCACTCGGAGTTGTCACGTCAAAGTTAGTAGACATCACCAAATACGCATCAGAAGAGAACATGACCGAGGAAAAAAAGTGAACAAAAAATTATGTGCACTCTACTGGAATTGTGTCTTCCATTTCTTTCCAAGCCATGCTGCGTATCCTGTCAACGGAAAAGAAAACAACTCCCTCTAAATGTACAGAAAGGTTTCGATCATGAAAACGGTTTGGGTGGTCGTCGAGGAGGAGGTAGGAGGGGGGACATTAGAACAATAATACGGGGAGGTGTTGAGGGTTGCTCTGCCAATGTTGTGTGGTATCGGGGGGTAAACGGTTTTTCATGATCCAGGAGTAACAACAAAAATAAAGAAAAACCACCAACACGGTGCCCACGGCCCATTGGCAACCAAGATTCGTCTAGTAATAAAACCTTCATTGTGTGTAGACCCATTCGTCGTCGAAAAAGGTTGGACGACTCTCACAAAGAGAAAAAACAAAAGAACACCAGAACATTTTTGTCGTAAACCCATCATCGGGGGGTAAAATAGATTGTCGGTAGGGTAGCCCCGTTGGGTGAGCGGTGCCGTCAAATATTCCAATCCTCGGGGTCGTCGTCGTCGTTCGTCGCAGAAGAAATGGGAAAAACACTCAAGAGGGGATTCGATTACGAGAGCTCCTGGATGCAGGCCTGGACCTGGGCATCGCATTCGGATGTGGAAGCCCCGTTACCCTGTCCACCGTTGATAGCATTGAAGCAGGAATTCCGTTGAATGTCGCAGGCACGCTGCACGGCGTTGGCCTTGGAGATGAAAGAGTTGCCGTTGACGGAGAAGGGTCGGCTGCTATCGCCCGAGTCCGTGACCGCCGGGGCCGCGAGCCCGAGGATTGCGTTCGACGTTGCGCCTCCCTTGCCACCAGCGGATCCGGAAGAGTTACCGTTGGCGTTGTTGGAGTTGCCGGAGGCGCCTCCGGTCTGGGTCGGCACCGCTGCCGACGAGGCTACCGAAGAAGTTGCCGACGAGGCGGGTTTACTGGCGGCGTCCCCGTCCTGAGCGGACGTGTTAGCATCTGCGGAACCTTGTGCATTCTGTCCGGACTGGGTTTGTGAAGTGGCCGCACCAGGGTTACCGAATCCAGGGAATTGGCCTTGCCCGAACGGGTTTCCACCGTTCTGGCCGCCAGGGAAGCCTCCTCCATTCTGAGCACCAGGGAAACCTCCATTTGGAGCACCAGGGAATCCTCCAGGAAAGGCTTGGGTATGGGTATTAGCGCGAGGGCGAGGGACAGAGGGGGGAGAGAAGGGGGAAAAAGAAATGAAAATGCCTTGGGTTCAGTGTGCGAAATGCAAAGGGGGGTTCTAAGGTGTTATGCGTTGTTGGCATTACCTCCTTGACCGGCGCCTCGTTGTCCCGCACCAGCAGCGCGGTTGCCGCCTTGAGCCCTCTTTCCGGCGTTCTGCTTACCTCCGCGGTTGCCGCCGTCTGTCGCCGTGGTTAGCTTCGGAATCACAATGTCTGCGGGGTTACTCACTCTGGCCGTTGTTGGCGTTCTGGCCATTGTTGGCGTTCTGGCCGTTATTGTTGTTGTTGTTGTTCTGGCCGTTGTTGTTGTTGTTGTTGTTTCCTCCGTTGTTGCCGCCGTTTCCGCCAACGGTGAACTTGTTGCAGTCGTCCTGGGCACCACGCTGAGCGACGGGCATCAGAACAGGCTGGTGGTTGGAGGCGGAAGACATGGTGCAGACGCGGTAGTTTCCGGCAGGGAGACCACCAGTGACGGTGGCCTTGAGGTTGCCGTTGCCATCACCGGCATCGTTGATACCCTTGAAGAACACGAACTTGGACGCATCCAGAGGCTGCTGAGGGGTGAGGGAGTTGCCCATGTCCTGGATGGTGACGTGAACGTGACCGACGACCTGGCCCTGGCCGTTTAGGTCCTGGGGAGCAGAGTAGTAGGTGGCCTGGGCATCAGTGAAGGAACCGGCAGCCAGGTTGTTGACCTTGAGTTCAACGTCAAAGTCCTGGTTGGCCTGAATGTTGCCGTTGTGAGGAGGGTTCTGCAGGACGGTGGAGACCATCTTGGTGTTGGCGGGAATCTTGCCCATGACGATACCGTTGCAAGATCCAGCGGTGATCTGCTTGCCGTCGGTGACTGTCTCGCCGGAGCAGAAATTGATGAAATTGGCGTTGTCACTGGCCGAGTGGTTAGTACATCGCCGGTGTTTGACAGGCTCGGTGGACTCACGTAGCGGACTGGGCCTGCTGGGCAGCAGGTGTTCCGGCAGACTGAGAACCCTTCTGGACGGCGTTCTGCTGCAAGCAGAGCTGGCCGTTGTTGCCTCCGTTGTTGTTGTTGTTGTTGTTCTGGCCGTTGTTGCCCTGGTTTCCACCACGGTTTCCACCACGCTGCTGACGCTTAGCCAAGGCGGCGCTCAGAGGAGAGTCGATGTCCATGAAGGTGACGCCGGCCTCAGCGACGACGGCCATGCCCGCGAGGGCTGCGACGAGGTTCTTGATCTGCATCTTGATCTCGGGTACAAAAGGTTGTCGAATCGAGGGAGTTCGAAGGGTGCTGTCGACCGAGTCGCTCTCAATAAAATACTATAGTTGTCGTTCGAAAGGGTGGTTCCAGACCGAGGAGCGAACAGAGTAGAGTACGAAAGGAACGGTCACAGACACCGGATACGAAGCACAGCTGAAATTGAAATGAATGAATGAATGTGAAGACACACTCCCAGCGTGAGGCAACAGGAAGAATGAAAAATAAAGGTTGGAGGGTCGAAAGGAATGATCGAAGCTGAGTGACTGCGGATTAAGAAGGGGAGGGCGGGAACAAAATAGTCTGAAAATGCCAAGATATGGAGTCTTATATGCGCAGGGCTGTGGTTGCAGGCTGCTGCCGGTATGGGCAGGGGACCGGGGGGTCGTGGGGACGGAGACAGGCACCCATGGCTTGCTTGGGAGGAGGAATCGTCTCCACGAGTCCAAAACGCGGCGCAGGGGAGTTTTGGGAGGAGAGGGCGGCGGGCGAGGAGAGGAGACTAGGGCTCGCTGACAGGAGAGCGGTAGCAGCAGCAGCAGAAGGAGGAGGCAGAGGGAGCAACAGAGTGTGCGCCTCAAACGAAGGACTGGGGGGTGAACACATGGATGCTGCTTAGCATCCGATCCCCGTGCAGACCCATGGGCTGCGGTATGCGAACCCGCAGCGGATGACGAGCAAGGGGCGTGGGAGACGGGTTGGGGGGGCTTTGGATAGCAAACTACTGTACGGATACCCAGCAAAGACGAGAACGAGGGCGGCAGAGTGGAAGAACGGCAGCGGGATGGAGTCGAAAGCGAGGCAGAGACGGAGAGGCAGAGACTAGCACGGGGGTGGCATCTGTCTGATGAGATGCGATGCGACAGCTAGCTGACAGGGGAGGACGCCTCCGGGGAGAACTAAGAACTAGAGGATTCGGGATCGAGGCGACGAGGGAACAGAGAGATCTGAGCTTCGCCTGTGGCAGGGGTTGTTGGGTATGGTATGGGACGGGAACGGCGACAAAGTTGTTAGTAAGACAGCGATTGTGTGTAGGAAGTGTGCAGAAAGAAGGCTCGTTGGGAGGACAAGCTACGTCGGAGCAGGGGTGACCGCTGCCAATGACGGTGGCCGTCCAGGACGGACAGTTCCCGACTCAACAGGATGGCAGGTAGCAGGTAACGGGGCAGGAACTTGAGTCGAACCTGGCGGGCAGGGCAAGTTCAGGCCGTTCCGTATAGTTTGGGGGAGAAGATGGGTTGGCAGCAGCCTGGCCGGCTGGTAAGTCGCAGCGAAGTGGGAATTGGTGTTGGAGAGAGACGGCACAGAGGTGGAAATGGAAAAGTCGTCATGTCTGATGCGGCTCCTTTCGTCGCAGAATGGGGTCATGGAGGCTCCACATGGCCCCGGCGCGGCTTAGCGAGCCAATAAGGAGGTGGGGCGCCCAGGACATCAGGCAAATGGCGTTTCGCCCGAGGCGTCGATGAAGCGAAACGAGACACTGGACGACATTTTCGACCTCCTTAAGCGCGGTTGACAAGACCTTGGGTAGGTATCTACAATACTTACCTACCTTACCTTGGATGCCTTAGTACCTGGAGAGTAAGCTAAGGTTTGACCGTCTGAGCGGCGCCTCCTCCGTTGCAATCTCCCTCCTTCACAGCAATAGCAGCAGCAGCCAGCGAGACACCCTTCAGCGCTCATGACAGCCTGTCAGCCCCCCCTGCTTAGGGCGTTGAGACGGATGGCACGCTGTAGGTAGTTTTTGGCTCCGTCGACAGCCAACCTTAACCTCAGTGCCCACCCCAACGGTGCGGATGACCTTAATTCCTGAGTCGCGAATTATGGTTAGCACCTCATGCTAAGCCTTGAGGGATCGCCCATGATTTGCTTCCGGACACCGGCTGCCCTTCAGTCTGGATTGACGCCCAGACGAGTGACGCGCACGCTACAAACGTTGGCTGCCGTACGTCCAGCGCCTGCACGGTACCACGGCATCACGGCGCCAGCAATCCGTTCCTCAGAACACGCACGCACACCAGGCATCGTGATGAACGCGATGGGTTTTTCTGATTGCCGTCGCCAATTCGGCGATCTTCCTTCGAGCCGCGCTGTTTCTTGTTTTCGAGTTCGTCCGACTCCCCCTTTCTTTTCCGTGGCTCGGTTTTCTGTGGTGCTTTGCGGGCACCCGCGACACGCAGCGGTCTCAGTCTTGGCCGGAGAGGAGCGGCAAATGGATGATTGGCAGCGGAACGGTCTGAACGGTTCGGGGGTCCTCAACGGGGCGAGACACACATAATGTGGTACAGTGTTAGTGCGACGGCCCGTCAGTCGCACCAAGACGATAACAGCTGCTGCCCTGCCGATTGCATTACCATCGAAGCGCCGGCCTAAATCCGGGACGGCGGCTTCAGCAAGCTGGACTGGACTGGACGGGATCGCTGTAACCAGGCGCTTCGCATCGCATCGCATATCAGCATGGCATCATAGGTGCCTGCCAAATCCATTTCAAATCTCCACCGCATTTTGTTCCACCCAAAAGCTTGCTCCTAAGGGCTCCTCCGCACCGTGGCACTCGAGGTATCGTGTGCCTCGCTTGCATCGTGAGCGAGTGCCTCGTATTGCTTGGCGAGGAGTGCACGGGTGGGCGGCTCCTCGGCGCCGGTCGTGGGGGGCCGCGGAGTTGACTCGCCGGTTGACGGCAGCAGCAAAGACGCCGCGGCGTTCTTCTTGCTGTATTGGGTCGGAATGTGGAGTTTCGAGGAGGAGGCGGCACAGAAGCAAACATCAAAAGTGCCCGCAAGGAGGCCAGTATGGGGATGCGAGAGAAGCGAGGACGAGGGCTGCGATGCGATGCCCTGCGCGCGCAACGGTGATGGCATCAAACATCCAATAAACCTAATCTTCCACTCGGCAACTTCGGATGACGGCCAGGCCCCTGGGACGACTGGCTGCGGCGCCCCTCTGTCTGACGGTTAGAGAAAATAGGGCGAGCCACACTCACCAGAAGACGAGGCACGCAAATGCAGGGAATGCGCTTTTGGTGTGGTAGGTGTTGGTGTCAGGGAGGAGACGTGCCTCCTCCTGCTTCTCTGGGCTTCTCCTCTGCCCAAACGGTGAGAAGGAGCTGCGCACTGAAAGTTGCGTCGAGAAGGTGGGAAGGAGGGCGGTACGTACCGCTGTGCCTTATCTCCCATCTCCCTCAGTCCCTACCACCAGCACTCGGTACCTGCAGCGGCCCCGTCGCGGAGATCCCAAGAACCCACAATGGCCGTCCAAATGAGGAATGGTCGGGTTCACCCCTTCCCTTAACACACTTTTAAGGTTGCCTCTAGCATCCCGTCCGCTAAGACCCGCCCCGCCTTTCCAACCCTGGGAAGCTCACACTCGACGTGGGCCGGCAGGGGCAAGACGTGGAGTCCCTGGCCATCGGCGCTGCTTCACCCCGTGTCTCCCATCTCCCCTTCCGCCGCTCTTCCATGGCTGCCCATGCCGCCTTTGCCATTCTGCCTCTGTTCGTCTCTCTCGACCGGCCTGCCAGTCAATCCCTCGCTGACTGGACGACGCCTCCTCAGTCGGGCTGCGATTGGACCGTCGGCGTCGCCCTGCATGAGCCATCCGAGAAAAGTCAATCTGATTTTCCTCATGGCCAACCCCTGGACGACAAGATGCTTATCCATGGGATGACGGTTTCGATTTGCATTTCGTCTGTTATTTTGCAGTGTCAACACGTCGTATACGACTCGACAAGTTGCCCATTTTGGCTCACTCGAGGTCTATTCTGGATTCTGGGCTGTCGGGCAATTTTTAAATGTTCCTGAGTTTAATGCTATTGATCGCCCACACCCAATTTACGAGCAATCTAAACTGACATATCTGATAGCCTTGCCATAGCGCCAACGCGTTTTTCCGTTTCGGTGGATGACATGGAAGTCCGCCAACACCCATACTAGCACGTTTGGCTCGCCTGCCGTCGTCGGCGTGGGCTGCTGGAGAATCGGCGTGGGGACGGGCAGTCTTTCTGACCGATGGCAATTCTGTGCCGCTCACGATATCAATACGAGCCGTGTTTTCCTCCTCCCTCCCAAACAAACGGGTCACCGGCTCGCTTGAGGTCATTCGTCCCCAAAAGATCTCCTCGCGAAACCATAAAATTTGCACCAACACGTCCAGCACACCAAGCTCTCGGCACACGGCAAGCTGGTGCCCCCCATCTTGGTCTCATCATCAACCCCTCGAGATGCAGGAACAATCAATTAAAGGGCTGGTCTTTCAATTGAATCCTTCCTTCGCCAGTGGCCCACAGATCCGGTTTGCCTGCTCGATGCGACTCCGGACGGCAACCCCTGCACAGACAAGCGAGAAAAAGTCGAGAGAGAGGCCCACCGCACCTCCGCCAAGGGGGCGCACCATTCTGCGACACGAGGCTGAGTTTGAAGCCTGTGCCAAAAAACCAATGGTGAAACAGGTTCACCTCAACTTTCTTGCCCGTCTTGTCACTCGTGTCAACCGGCCCAACCTCGCTTCCGCCACACTTCCCGTCGAACCTCGCTGCAGGCATTCTCCTCGGACCCGGGCCGCATGCCTGCCTTTCATCCCAGCTCGGGACGACCATGTTGAAACTCGACGACCGTCGGAAGAGGCAAACACCACCCTTGCCAAAGGAAGGAACAAAGCATCGACCGCCCGTCGTCGCAATATTGCGCTGAGCGATGCCCAGAAGCCGTGCCAATCCCGTCCAGCAATCCTGCCATGCGCTTCTAATGGCATCCAATCCCCTTTGCGCCTCTTGCTAGGACTCGGACCCTCGGCAAGGGCATCGAGAACGATGGCAGCCCTCCACCTTGCCAGACGTCACCTATCATCCCAAATGCCACGCCCCGCCGCTGTCACGGCTGGACTTGAAAGGGGACGCTCCAAGGACAGATGGCGGATTCCAAATCCCCCCACCCAGGACGTCGACATCACGCCACTTTCCCTGGGCCAGGAAACGTTTGCCGAGTGT